ATGAGACAAAGGGACAGAATTTGGAACTCAAAATTTAAAAAAAAATGAATGTCAACAATTTTTAAAAATGAATTACATTTAATTAAGTATTAAATTAAATTAAAATATTAAATATGAATTAAAATAAATTAAATATAAAAATTAAATTAAATAATTAGGTATTTAACTAACTCTTTTTTTAAAAAAAGGTTTGCTCCAGGAATTTCCTTGGCCACTGGCCTATTCTTGGTTCACCACAGTAAGATTACTAGCAAGGTTTCAGGAGGCAGAGAAAGTTCTCTGGAAGGTTCTTAGCCCCTGAACTCCTTAACCATAAAGAGTAGAAGCAATTCTTTTGAAATTTTAGAGGAAACAAAGGCCAACATTCCCCAAGATGATTCATCACTGCCTGAAGCAGTTATCTTGACTTTCAACCTTTTCCAAGAGCCAGACCAGAGAGAGGAGACCTTAAACTTGAGTATATTCAAGGAACTTTCTTCCAAGGGAAATATGTTTTTATTCCCTCCTAATAATTTGTTTCCTTTTCCTTTCTCTAATGGGCAGTTTTATGAATGCTTACATACCAAATTTAAAGAAACTTTGATTCCACAATGTCTGAACTTTAAAAACTGTCCTGCCCCACTTTATAATTTTTTATATCTTTTGTATTTATATCATTTTAATTTCTGAATATATCTCTTCCCCCTTCTATTTCCAGTGAGACATCATTTGCTATATTTAATAAAACAGAGGAAGAGAAACCAGATCTACAAAACTAACAAACATATCAAGTCAGACACTGTATATGGATCATTTAGCCCATACCCATAGTCCCCTATTTCTGCAAAGAACGCTTCTAATACTTCAAGACATTGCTGACTAAAGATTAATTGGGTGTGGTGAAGATCATGTAAATTATCTCTAAATTCTCTTCTAGGGCTATAATCCTCGTAAAATAATTTGAATTTGAGAAAATTCTTTTTTTTAAACTGCAGTTCTTTTGACTTACAGTTACAAGTAATTTTTTTTTTTAGTCTGGAGAAATTTTTTATCAATTAGAATTCTTTAAGTGATAGAATTTAATTAATTGGTTAGTATCATAATGGAATATTAGAAAATAACATATTCATTGTATATAAGATCTTCTAAAGCTTTATACAACAGATAAAGCAGTTTAAAAATAAAACTTGAAAATCTTGTTTATATTATTAAATTGTTTAGCTGAGAACTATTCAATGGTATCTGGTACTGCTTAAGTATATAGCTCAGTTCCAAGTACTATGGAGCCCTCATCAATAAGGTATTAAGTATGGTATTATAGTAGAAGGTGCTCCTGAAACTTTCCTTCTTGCTAATCAGGTCAACAACTGTGAAAAAGCAACAGGATGCCTCTCTGTCGTCACAGGAGCTTAGCCTGTTTGTCCTATTGTTGGACCCATTTGGACCTCCTTTTGGAATGTACTATGGTTTTGCAAGGGAAATTTGACTCCATGTGTCACAGACATCCCTGGAGAGATTTTATCTAACGCATTTGCAAAGAATCCAGTGGACAATTGTATGGGATGTACTTCAAGTATCTGTGGAAACAGTTTTTTACCTAGGATAGTTTAGTTTCTCACCTGAGTTTGAGGAGGCTGACTTCCAGTTGAACACAGGTCCTTCCCTAATCCTTGTTGAAAGACAGTTCATTTGAAACTAGACTTTCCCTCGGAGAGGGGAAGCTCGTTTATTTTTTCCTTTATTATTTGACATTTTTTAAAACTTTTATTTTAATTTTTGTCTTTTTATAAGTATTTAGGGTTGGAACAGTCCCTTAACAAGCAGCAGGCAGGTGACAACCCATGATTGCATAACGGCAGGCCTTGGCCTTTACAAAAAACCCTTGATTTTGGAATTGTCTAGGAAATGCTCTGAATGGTCTGTTTTAAAGAGTTTTTGCTTGGCCATTAGTTACTCTGCCATATGACTTCTATGAGATTCTTTAGGTAATGAGGGAAACATTTGCTTGAGCCTCCAAAACTATTCAGAATTGGGATTATGGACATGTGCCAAACCATCCCAGTTGATTTGGTGGGGACAACAAATATTTAACTGGTAGGAAAACATAGTGGGAGTGATCCCATGGAGGATGTGCTCTGATATACTTGCTAAGGGTCAGGCTCTTCACTTTGATGAGATGACCTAACCACGATTCCTGATTGTTCTGTTTGTATCTTTCTTTATGTCTCTGTCTCTCTACATACACAAATATGTATAACATTTCTAGAATTGTATAGGCATGACATATGGGGGAGTCTACAGCTTATAAGAAAAAAAATCTAAAAGTTCATTCTAAGTGGGGAATTTGAAACTGGAATACAATAATCTGTAATTTTCTAAATGTTGGTTTGGTTTTCAAATTAGCCCAAAGTGCTTTTTTTTTAACCAACTAGATGTCTAATAAATGTTTTTTTTTAAATTTCACTGAACCCGTATTTCTGGTAATATATGTGTTAATGAAACATGTAGTAGGAGTAATTCATATGTACTAATAATATTGTAGGACCCAACTGCTATTTATAAGATTATTAATGTGGGAAAACTTATTCTAATTTATGACTATAATTAGTCAATAGCTATTACTACTCTGTTTCTATTCTTTACCAGGAAGCAGTTAGAATAGAACTCCAGAGGTCCTAGGCAGTTACTATAAACTATTATTAATCAGTGGTATTTATTAAGTTAGGTATTGTGCAAAGCATTGGAAATATTACAAAGAATGAAATAATCCCTGGTTGCAACGAGTTTATATTCCAGTGAGAGAAATTCCCAATATTAAAAAGTATAAAGCATAAAGTTAACATATACAATTATATAAAATAAAGGTGGCGTAGTATATAGAACACTGGCTTATATTTGGAAAGATCTGAGTTCAAATGCAGCCTTAGACACTTACTAGCTGTTTGACCCTGGCCATGTCAAACTTAATCCTGTTTGCCTCAGTTCCTTACCTGTAAAATGAGCAGGAGAAGGAAACAGCAAACCACTCCAGTATCTTTACCAAAAAAACCCAAAACAAAACCCAAATGGGGTCACATGACTGAAAAACTACTGAACAACAAGAGGTTCATTCAATACAAGATAGTTTGAGAGGGAGGCTACTAGGAGTTGGGGGGGAGGAGGATTAGGGAAGGCTTCATGCAAAGATGTTACCTGGGATTCATCTTAAAGGAACAGAGGGGGTCTATAAGGCATTTTAGGCACTAATGAGAAATTAGTCCTAATGGGAGTGTCCTATGTGAGGAACAGAAGGAGTACTAGCTGGCTATATCACAGAATATGGGAGAGTACTGTCCAAAACTCCCTCTCTGACTTACAATATCTTTTCCCCACAGTGGCAGCTGTGTGGAGAAGATGGATTGGAGGGTGATAAGACTAGACCCAATTAATTCAACTAGTAAATTATTGCAATCTAGGTGAGAGATGATGAAGGCCTGAACTATGTTGGTGGTTGTGCTAGTGGTGAGAAGAGAACAGACCGGAGAGAGGTCTTAGAGGCAGACTTGACAGGACTCCTCAATAGAGCCATTTGTTAATATTTCAGAACGAGCATTGATACCTTGGAAATTGGCAAATGCCACAAATTAGTGCTTGGTTTGTTTGTTGATTGTCCAGACTTTTAAAAAGTGGTGGAGAAAAAATGTCAATGTAGATCAGACTTAAAAGTGTTTTGTGAATACCTTTTTGGGGGAGAGCTTCTTGTTCAATCTTTACCAGCACAACCCTGGACAGAACCAAGACTTGGCTACTGAATGGATAGGGGGAGATTAGGGTAAGGGAGAGGTTGCCAAGTTGGGTGACTGAAAATGATGGTACTCTCAACTGAAAAGTTTGGACAAGAGGCAGGTTTAGGAATGGTAGATAATGAGGTTTTTTTTTAGGCCTGATTGTTAATTGTTTTCCAAAAAGTACTTAATTTACATCTCCACCAGTGTTAATACACAGCATTGCCAACATTCAATTTTATAATTTTCAAATCGTCTTTGTTAACACCTCAGTTGTTTTAATTTGCATTCCTTATATTTTTAGAATTTGAACCATATTTCCTGTGACGTTGCTAATTTGTTTTCCCGTTCTCCCCCAGGCTTTCCCCCTCCCCCCCACGCCCAGCTAGGGTATTCTCCTCTAGTTACTGTGTAACTTACTCTGAATGTGTCTTGTTTTTTCTTACTTCTGCTCCCCCCCCCCCCTCCCCCCCAGTCTGGGGGGAAGTCAGGTGGCGCAGTGAACACAGTTCCGGTCTGGAAGCAGGAAGACCCGAGTTCAAATGTGACCTCGGAAACATAGTGGCTGTGTGACCCTGGGCGAGTCACTTAACCCTGTTTGCCTCAGTTTCCCCAGCTGTAAAATGAGCTGGAGAAGGAAATGGCAAACCACTCCAGTATCTCTGCCAAGACGCGATTGGACACCCCCCTTTAGAACGTAAGCTTCCTGAGCACCCAGAGTTGTGCACAAGTTTAGGTTTAATAAACTCTTGTTGATTGATTTCTGGAACGGCCACTTTCTATCCTTTGATCACCAACCCTACTGAGGAACGGGACCTCAACTCAAAAAAAAGGAAAACAAAAATAAAAAAAGTGTCAGCTCCTCAAGATGTTGGGCTTTTAGCGGACACCGGCGACATCGGCTGTCTTTTACAGCTAATCAACGCGCATTCATGGTACCCCTGGTTGTGGGCGAGTCACGGGCCATGCCCTGCCCTCAAGAAGCACATATTCTCCCAGGGAGAAAGGCTAGACAACAGCTCGATCTAGACGCCTAGGGCACAGCGGGGTGCCGACCGCGCGCTCTCCCCGGACCCCTCCAGGGGCGCTCGAGGGGTGGCAGCGAGAGGCACGCCCACGTCGTGACGCGGGATCAGGCCCAGCCGCCAGCAGGTGCACGCGCCTGGTGCGCGGGCCGACTGGGAGGGCTCCCTGTGACGTCACCGGGGCGGGAAGATGCGGAAATCTAACAGGAATTAGGGCTAGTCCGCAAGGGCTTTGGTGGGGGCCTGGCGAGGGAATCGACATATCCGGGAGGAGTTGTTGTGGGGACCTTTACGTGGGCATGCGCCGGTTCCACTTTCGGGAGAGAAAGTGTGCATGTGAATAGGTGACGTAACGGTTTGCCACTCTATTGCTCTAAAGACTCTATGGTTGCAACAATGCCTCGCGATCCTCCTCAACCACGCATGCATTAGGATTTTTTTTCCACCACAAAGGCCACAAGGGGGTGGCGCAGGCGCCCTGTCAGTCCCCAAGACTAGGCGGAAAAAAAGAAGGATTTGGCTTATGCGCAGTGAGGACGTCTGGGACTTATTTCATCCGGGGCGGTGGCGACGGCGATGACGGAAGAGGAGGTGGAAGAACGGAAGCCGGGAGGGGACTAGGGCGGAAGGGGACCAGGTCCAGGGCTGTGTCCGCAGCCTCGGCGGGACAGGGGTTCCGATGTGGTCCCCGGGGCAGGAGTCCGAGGCCCCAGCCGGGGGGGACCCGGCGGGGCTGCTGCCCCCCGAGTGGGAGGAAGATGAAGAACGGATGTCCTTCCTGTTCTCCGCCTTCAAGAGGAGTCGGGAGGTGAACAGCACCGACTGGGATAGCAAGATGGGCTTCTGGGCGCCGCTGGTGCTGAGCCACAGTCGCCGCCAGGGGGCGGTGCGTCTGCGCCTGCGCGACCTTCAGGAGGCCTTCCAGCGCAAGGGGAGCGTCCCGCTCGGGTTGGCCACGGTGCTCCAGGACCTGCTCCGGTGAGGGGTGGGGCGGGGGCGGGCCTTCCTGAGCTGGGGGCGGGGCCAGGGCGACACTCCCCTCCCCCTCTGGGCTGAAGGGGAGGGACACTTAGGAGCAGATTAGTGTTCCCCTTCCCGTTTTACAGATGAGGAAACTGAGGCCCAGAGAGGTTGGAGGGGCTTGCATCTAGTCACACAGGTGCCAGAGCCAAGATTTGAACCCACGTCTTGTGATTCTAAATCCGACTGTGCCATACTTAGGCACAGACTTAGGGTGTCTGTGGTGGGGTTCTTCTTGAGTTGCTGTTATCATTTAAGACCTACCTCTTCTGGAAGGCCTTCCCTAACCCCTCTGCCCCCCAAAAACCTCATGGCATTTCGTTTTGCAACTCAACTTTGTAAGGCACTTAACTATACAAAATGGGGTTGTTGTAAGGAGCAAGAGAGACAGTTGGCTGTATAAATAGGAGCTATTATTATTATGCATTGCCCTCGTTTACCTTTCCACTCTTGCTCATCTCTGGCCTACTTACTGTCCCATATACACATAACACATTTCCCATCTCTTTTTCTTTGCCCTGGGAATGCTCGCTATCCTCACCTTCACATCTCAGTTTCCCTTGCTGCCTTCAAGACTTCCCTCTGAACCTTTTTGCTGGAAACCCATATTACGCCACCCCCCCTTTCCCTGTTTATAATTTTGCATAGGCCTAGTTACTTTCATATTGTCTCCACCATTAGAATGGAAGTTTGAGGGCAGGGGGTCGGGTTTTACCTTTCTTTGTATCCCCAGCTTTTAGTAGAGTGCTTGGCATATATTTACTTAATAAATATTTGTTGACAAGCTATGTCACATTTTACCAGACTAAGCTTCATAAGAGAAGATAGTTTTTATGTATTTTACATGAACTCCGTATCTCTTCAGTGCACTGAACACAGTAGACATTTAATAAGTGTTTGTTCAGCTGAATTGGTTAGGGCTTCTTGGAGAAAGGAAGGATGGGCTGGGGAAAACTTGAGGCATGAGAGGCAAATAAGAGGAGTCTTGGGCTTCAGGGGTTAGGAAAACACCTTTACAACTCCCATCCTTCTCCAGTAGGCATAGTCAATATGATTATTTAAGGTATTCCTTTTGTAGAATTTTGCTTGAGGCCTCAAAATTTGAAATCACCTGGAGAAGAGGGTCTCCTCCTTGCTGGTACAAATGGAATTGAAACATTTATTTAGTGCCTGCTTTTTCCAGGACCCTGTACTAAGTAAGCACTGGAGGAAATAAAAAGATAAGTGAAACCTGGTCTCTGCTGTCAAGTAACTCAGTCTAGTAACCATATCAAAGGTTAAGCTATCTTGCATAAGAGGAGTATAAAGTGCTATGAGATCAGATAAGAAGTGAGCTCATTTTGGAAGACTACATGGAACTGGTAGAATTAGAGTTAGGCCTTGAAATAGTATTAGAAATTCATTAATTGGGGACCCTGGGGAAGGAAGATTGACTGAGAGACTCTTGCAGTAATTGAAGTGAACTTTAAAGGGGTCAGAACTGAAGTGGTGGCAATGGGAGTAGATAAGAGAGCTGTTGAACTAAGGAGATTCAAATTGAGGAGTCATAACTTTGGTCCTATCCCTGGGAGATAGCATCCTTAGGGAGAAGAATGTAGATATCCTCCTACTCCTAAAGGAATAAAAAATACCTATATGTTCCTTCTAGCTTGGGAGATAACACAGCATAATGGATAGGGCACTGAATTTGGAATCAGGAAGACCTGGATTCAGATCCTGCCTTAGTACCTTTGTGATCCTGGGCAAGTCACTTAACCTGTCTGACCCTCAGTTTCCTCATCTGTAAAATGAGGAGGTTGAACTCAGTGGCCTCCAAAGCCTCTTCCACCTTTAAGTCTATGGTTTTATATCCTGACCATGGCAAGTCAAGCATAAGCCAGTGTGGACAACCAGAATGGTTGGCCACCATGGCCCCCAGTAGTTTCTATTCAGTCTTTACCAAAGTACAGAAAAGGCATTCATGTTTTACTTTCTTGATATGACAAGATATCTCTAGTACTAGATAGTGCCATTTGATCTGGGCATTTATGGGGACCCACCTGGGGACTCTGAGTTTGTTAGCCACCAGTGCATCTGATGCGGGTTGGGTTTGGCTTCATTCCCTGTTTGAGGCTGGGAAGAGGAAAGGGAAGGATGGGGATGAGGGAGTAACCCTCGGCTACCAATGCTTTTCTTCTCATTTGATTTTCCAGAAAACATGGGTGAATCTCATTTGAGTTTAACCTTAGCTTGAGATCCAGTGTTCTACTCTTACATACTGTCTTTCTCTTTCACTTTTTTCCTGTAGAAACTGAAAAATTAGTATAGTTCCTAAATTTGGAGACTGGTTCGCAGATCCAGAGCATATTTGTCAAATCCTAATGATCCTTTTGTTGAGATGTCTTGTAATCTGGGAAGTGGCATCAGTCATTTGTGTGTGCTGAGGGGACAGTCCTTAGGGGCTTGTGTGTGGAGGCAAGTGTCTGAAATTAAGAACACTATGATGCACTTCCTGAGGAAAAACTAGATGGGTTGGACATACCTATTCTTTGGCAGTTGGAAGTCTTCCCTTTTTATATTCGTTCCCTCCCCATACTCCACGTTGTAACTGATGGGACTTCATAAATCTTTTTGTGCCTTTTTTTTTCCTCTTCTGTTGTGGAGTGTGCTTTAGATCATGACTGTAATGGAGAGCTGAGACAGTTGTGGGAAAAGCCACTGTTAGCCAATTTCATGATTTAATTTAGCCAGTGCAGTAGGGTCAGGTAATCAACTTCTGCTCTTTCTTTAAGCCATGGTCCCCTCTCGAGTGGTTGTTAGTCTTCCAGTGCTCCTCACTGCTTCGCTGTGTCAGTAGTGGTTCACTCTAGGGTAAATACTGTAGAATGTCCTCTGACCAGAGGTGTCAGACTCTTTTGCAGGTGCCTACAAAACTCAAGTGCAATCCCTAACCAGATTAAATTGTAATCGGGAAATATTTAACTAAATAAGTGAAAACATGATACAATGTAGATAAGGTTAAATCAGTATGGGGCCCACGTGGATCTGTTTTTATTTGAATTTGATACTACTGCCCTAGACAAGCTGAACTCCATGACTATGTCTTATTTATCATTTTATTCCCCCCCCCCCCCCCCCCGGTACTTTTCATACCACAGCATGGGCTCCATAGCTCTTCTTGTCTCTGTTTTTTGACTGGTTTGATGGCTATTGTTTGGGGACACTGGCTGAAACCATCTAGTACACCCTGGCTGACGTGACTTTGTCCTTCTGTTCTTGGAGCCGAGGGGAGCTACAACGGGAATCAGATTTCATGGCCAGTGTGGACAGCAGCTGGATTTCATGGGGAGTAGGTGTCTTCCTGTTGAAGCCTCTCAAATGGACTCTTTCTAATGTGCTGGGGGACAACAAGGTCCCTGCTGAAGAGGTGCTGGTGGCTGTGGAGCTGCTTAAGGTAAGTGCATTTGGGTACAAACAGGCCAGGGATGCGTTTTCCTTTTTTTTAAAAGGAAGGACTTTACCGTTTAATGCAGAGACAGAGTTAATTACTTGATTAAGTTTTTTTGTATACTCCCAGCCTGCCACATAATATCTATGGGTAAGGTAGAATTCTTATGGAATGTTATAATGTTCATTTGTTACTTATTACACATTCTTCAATGCTTTAAGGAAAACCCTTTGTCTCAAGACTAAATCATGGATGCACAAATTTGTTTTCTGGGGTTTAAAGGGACAAAAAATGAACTGAAGTTTAGGAAATTCTTATGGTCTGAGATTTATTGACAAAATTCATACCTAGGTTATCTGAGAACTAAGAAAGTCATCATTCTGTCCAGGGAAAAAGATGGTCTGATTTCTTAGGAGTTAAAGTTATATTTCCCCAAATCATTATACAATGTCATTTCATTTACTTTTCTTGTACCTTTATATTTTAAAGAATATTTTTATTTAATTTTTAACATTCATTTTTTATAATTTTTTAGTTCTGAATTCCCTTCCCCCTCTTTGAGAAGGAAAACACTTTGACACAGATTATACACGTGTAGTCATGCAAAACATATTTCCATATCAGCCATGTTGGGAAAGAGAACACAGACCAAAAAAAGAAAAACAAATAAAGTTAAAAAAGTAGGCTTTTCTCTGCATCTAGACTCCCAACCATTCTTTCCCTGGAGGCAGACAACATTTTTCATTGTAAGTTCTTAAGAATTGTCTTGTGTCATTGTATTGCTGAGAATAAATAGCTGAGTCATTCGAAGTTGGTCATTGTACAATGTTGCCCTTGTTGTGTACAATGATATCCTGGTTCTGCTCACTTCACTTTGCATTAGTTCGTACAAGTCTTTCCAGGTTTTTCTAAAACCATCCTCATCATTTCTTTTAGCACAATGGTATTTCATCACAATCATATATCACAGCTTGTTCAGCCGTTCCCCACTTGATGGGCTGTGATATATGATATACAGAAATTATAGCAGCTCTTTTTGTGGTGGCAAAGAATTGGAGACTGAATATAAATATTTTTGTATAGGTAGGACTTTTTCCTTTTTCTTTGATTTCTTTGGGATACAAACCTAGTTCTTTTTAGCCCTAGTAATTAACTTACATATAAAATCCTCTGGTTGAAAAGAGAGGGGCAAGGGTTTATTATTTCTATTTTCATAGCATTTTTTGAACTGACAGGACTTTAAGGATGATTTGGTTCAATGCCCTGATTCTATACATTGTAAATTAGATGCAAAGAGGTGTGAATTAACCAAGGTCCTGTAGCTCATTAGTGGCGGAACCAGGATTAACATACAGGTGTCTTAATTCCAGCCCACTGATTAAATGGCTTCATTTTACCAATAGGGGAAACATTGATATAGTGGAGGCAAAAGACTTGTTTGAAGTCAGTAAAAACTGGAAGATAGGCAATAAATGGGTTCTCAGTACATAGTTAAATTGTATAGACTTGGAGGGCTGATTTTGATTTATTAGATTAGGCTGCCTCATTATAGACATTTTAGTTAAATTTCTTCCAAATTTTTTAAAAGCAAAACTTTTAAGAAAAAATTCCACTTTAAATGAAGAAGTTGGGCTCATCTGGACAATTATGGGTCTAGTTTTACAAAAGAAAAGTCAGCGCTTTTTAGCCTCTATACCTAGACACTGAGTATAAGCTCCTTTCTTCTCTTGTAGGAAAAAGCAGAGGATGTCTATCGTCTGTATCAGAACTCTCCAATCTCCTCTCATCCTGTGGTGGCCTTGTCAGAGTTGAGCACCCTCTGTGCTAGTTCCTGCCCAGATGAGCGAACCTTCTATTTGGTGTTGCTCCAGCTGCAGAAAGAGAAGAGAGTCACTGTTTTAGAGCAGAATGGTGAGAAGGTATTGAATAATGGAATTTCTATAAATATCTATTCAATATCTGGTAATCTTGCCATCAGTTTTTCTGTGTGAATTTTTTTCAGAGCAGGAGTAATTTGTTCTTCTCCCACAGATTGTGAAATTTGCCAGAGGGCTACATGCCAAGGTCTCCCCAGTAAATGATGTAGATGTGGGGGTGTACCAGTTGATGCAGAGTGAACGGCTGCTCTCACGGAAGGTGGAGTCCCTGTCCCAGGAAGCAGAGAGGTAACTTCGTCCTCCAACTGAACCCTCCCTGCCTTGACTAGTCATCACAGCTCTCAAGAGCACTTGGGGTCATGATGTTTTCTTTGTAGGTTCCTCTCTTTCCCATTGTCTTTTTCTGTAGATATGTGAGGTTACTCCTGGTGAAATGATACTATCAGCCTTTCTGCTTTGCTGAGGAGCTGTAGGTGTAGTCTTAGGAAGTGGGATTCTATCTATTTCACTGAAGGGAGAAGACTCAACCAGAGAGAAAGGGATATTCCCAGTGGCACCAGTGGTGGTGGGAGTTGAAGCTTGGTCTTCTGAATTCTATGGGGTAGGAGATGGAGGAAGCAGTGGGCTAGTAAAACAGTACTCAAAAATGCATATAGTGAGTTTTTTATTATATTATTATATTTATATATTAATACATTTACATATTAATTATGCTTATATATTAATTAATTATATTATATTATATATTACGCATATCTAATGAGTAATGCCAGACCTGGTGGTCTGTACAGATTAAGTTCAAATAGCATGGGTTTGCCTTTCTAAAGTCCTTAAGCAGGAATTAGCTGAGGGTGGCAGGATGAAAGGTTATAAATAGGCATTTGGATTAGCCAGTTTGTGGATGCCGTTTTTGGGCTCTCTGAGGTTGAGAGTGTTTCCTTAATTTGTTAATATCTGTTGTTTCTGTTTTCTTCTTTAGTCTTCTTTTGGCCCCTTGAAATAAATGGAATATTTTTCGTGTTGAGTTGGGAGCCTTGGGATGGTATTTGTGCTTGGTGGTTGTTAGCTCTGAGAGGGGAATTCCTGGTTTTATTACCAACCAGTCAATTTGTGGCAGTGCATAAAAAGGTAAATTGGTGACAGTTAATTTGGAGGGAGAGAACTTCCATGTAGTACCTCCAACTTCCAAGTCAGGAGTTTGTCTTTCAAGGATTTTCAAAACTTTGCCCTGCCTCACCCAGACCGAGTTTTCTAAGATATCCTATACTTCCATTTTAGAGCTGTGCTATAATGTAAGTGTAATGATTCATTATTTTAATCAGTCGGTAGAATGGGATCTGGCTCAATATCCCTTGCCATTTTTTTCCTGCTTGACTGTTGTTAAGTTGTTTCAGTCATATCTGCCTCTTTGTGACTCCATTTGGGGTTTTCTTGGCAAAGATATTGGAGTGGTTTGGCATTTCCTTCTCTAACTCATTTTATACATGAGGAAACTGAGGCAAACAGGGTGAAGTGACTTGCTCAGAGATATATAGTAAATGTCTAAGGCCAAATTTAAACTCAAGAAGATGAGTCTTCCTTGACTCCAGGCCTCGAACTCTATCCAGTGTGCCACCTAGCTGCCCTCTTGACTGACTTTCTCTTTTTTTAGGGCTCTGCCTCTTCCTCTGTGCTAGAACTTCTTCCTACCCTAGATCAAATATCCTCAATCTGCCCTTCTGTTTCACAGATGTAAAGAAGATGCCCGACAAGCGTGCCGAGCTGGAAAGAAGCAACTGGTGAGTGTCTTCTTTCCTCCCACCAACTCTGTACTGTCACATTTAGCAGCCAAGATGGGAACAAGAGATGAAGATGGCTTCAGCACCACTACATACCTTTGGAGTAAGAATATGTGTAGAGAATTGGAAAGTCTTAAGTCTCCTAGTAGGGCTACTGCCCTGTTCTCTTGCCTCACTGCCTAGTATTATGGTTTGACTGAGATTCTGACCACATTTCCCCTTGCTCTTTTAGGCACTAAGGCATCTCAAGTCTAAGCAGAGGACGGAGAAGCGCATTGAGGCACTACATGCCAAACTGGACACAGTGCAAGGCATTCTGGATCGGATCTATGCTTCCCAAACAGATCAAATGGTAATCCACTTGCACCAGGGATAACAAAATTAGTTGAGCTCATTGTTACTATTTGCCTTTGCTGGTGTTTTTACTACTCTGTAATTTTCCTCTTATACATTAGATTTGCTCTCGTTATCCTGTACAAAATGTGATTAGCTCCTTTGCTTGTTGAAGGTCCAAGGAATGTCCTTCATTACTGCAATACTCATTCTCAACTCTGCTTTTCCAATCTGCTGCTTCCTCTTTGCTACCTATTCACCCTCTCCTTTTTTTTGCTTGATCAGGGTTCTTTCTTTGTAGCAGGCCTCTAGTCTTTCCTGATTAGCAGTTCTGAAAGGCCAAGTTGACGTGAGGATATAGAGATTTCAAGAAGCTAAAAACAATAGTGTTTGTTTTTGCAGATATTCTTCATCTGTACTAATACTTCTACTTTCCTTTTAGGTTTTTAATGCCTATCAGGCTGGTGTAGGGGCCCTCAAACTTTCCATGAAGGACATCACAGTGGAGAAAGCAGAGAGTCTGGTGGACCAGATCCAGGAGGTATAGAATGGACTGGGAACAGAGATGATAGGAAGATACTGGGTGTGTTGTCCTCACACTGGGCTGTCAGATTTGATTTTGTGTGAGCAGTCTAAGTGGAGAAAACCTCCTTCTTTTGTTTGAACTTGTGTGCAGAAGGTTATTTGACCTTGTTATTTTGTTATTGGGGGTCCTACTTGGATTTTCTGTTTCCATTTCTGAGTATTTGCCATTTCCTTTGCCCCTTCCACATTTTATACTACTTAGAAACACTCTGGCCCAGGATCACACTTATTTCTCTTACAGCTCTGTGATACCCAGGATGAAGTTTCTCAGACTCTGGCTGGGGTGGGGATAAATGGCTTAGGTGAGTTGTCAAAAAGATGTTCCCATACCTTAAGAGGAATTCTCCTTCTTCATCTGGCCACATTTTCTGGCCAAATGCTGCCACATGTGGCAGCAGACAGGACTTTATTCAGAGCCCCTCCTGTACCCAACACTTTTGACATGGAAGCTGCCGTAGGAAATGACATGTTCCTTCATGCACCCACTTCCATTCTGATTTAAGGCACCTTTTGCATCTCAATCAGCTCTTTGGATATGGGGATATGATAAGGGGTTTTGTTTCTTATTGGGGGAATTGCACCCCCCTTAAATAGCATAAAAGATGAGGGATATTCCCCGGGGTTAGGAGAGAGGCCCTACCACTTTGCATGTATTTTTGTGGAGACAGAAGAGGAAGCACCTTTTGAGAGTGCCCCTTTTCTCAAGTGATTCCATAAAAGTAGCCATTCCACCTTCAGCTGCAGTGTATACCCAGCTTTAGAGACTTAGTCATTGTTTGTTATCTGCTAGTATTGGGTCTTGATTGTTTTCCCCGCATGGGGTTTTATGTGCTTCTCGCCTTGTTTTCTCTCCAGATAGTGACAGCGAGGAACTGGAGAAGGAACTGGACATTCTCCTCCAGGACACCACCAAAGAACCTCTGCATCTGCCTGATACTCCCCACAAGCCATTCTTCTCCACCAATGTGCCTAATCCCAGCATTTCAGATGCTGAGCTAGAAGCTGAGCTGGAGAAACTGTCCCTGTCAGAAGGAGGTATGGACATAATTAAGAAAGGGCTGCTGGTGGAATTTTGCACCATAGCTAGCCATGTGGGTGCTGAGTTGGTGGATCCTAGTCCTTGTTCTCAGCTTATCTAGGATGTAGAGGCACCGAGGCAGTCAAAAGCATAGTGGGTTGGAGTTCAGTCATCTGTGTCACATGTTTCCCAAAGACTAGGGTTCAGTTTCTGGGTTCTCCTCTGTCTTAGGTTCCGGTCTGTCTTGTATTGCTCAACCTTTCTCTCTCCTCTGCAGGTTTGCTTCCAAGCCATGAATCCTCCAAAAGACAGCTGGAACCCACTCTCTAATGCTATCCCAGGACTTCTACATTAAGGAGATATCAGGCGTGTGTGTTTGTACATAGTTATTTAATTGAAAAACTCTCAGAATTTGATGGGATGGGGAAGAAAGACTACTCCATTTAGCTGGATACTACCAGTTACTACAGGACAGAAGTAATTTCTGGAAGTTATGCTCCAAAGGCTTGCTCCTAGCTGGTGTCATGGACCTGTCTGTCTTCTCATCTTTATAGTGCCACAATCTATGATGTCCTGTGTTTGACCTATTGTTCCATATAGCCTGCAATCCTTGACTTTGGCCCAGTTATGTTTGTCTTCACCCACCAGCTCCCACTAGAATTTTGTTCCAACCAACAAAGGTGAGAGATTGCAGACAGTTTTTCTCCCGTTGGTTAGAGGGACTTGTCATCTTTACCCGTAGGTGTTTATAAGTTTACTTAAGTAAACAACTTATTCCTACCCATTTCCATTTTCACTGGTGAGGAGAATCAGACAAGTTTTATTCAAGGGGACTTAACTGCTGCTTCTTCAAGGAGAAAACAAACAGTGCAAAAGTTTCTGCTCTTTATTATCATTGCATCAAGTTTTTTAGGCTCAAAAATGGTCACCCTTGAGTAATTCAAGGTGGTGGCACCTCTGGCTCTCATTGACTCCCATTTCATTTTGTGCAGAGGGGGAGAGAATTCTTCTTGGCCTTTGAACTTGGGGTGGTGAGACCTAGGTGATTGTGGAGCCATCCTATGTGGATTGTGGATGGCCAGGTCCCACCTCTTTTAAAGCAAGAGGCTGCCCCCTTGCTCTGCCTTTGTTGGGGTATGGTCAGAAGACACTGAACACACTACTCAACAAAATCTCTCTTCTGTGAGCCTGTAAAACAAGAGTGAGTTCTTTGCTCAAGTTTCAGAAGAATTTTCTTTTGCAGATAGACCACTGCTAAGGGTAGGGGAATCTGAGCCAATTTGTGCAATAGAAGCAGAAGGGTTTGCCCTTCTGCCATATTGGTATATGCCTCCCACATTCTATTTATTTGTCAGAACACACACTACCTATTGTTGCCGCTTGAGGCTACCATATTCTTGCTTCTGTCTCTGCCCTTTGGTCAATTGGGGACAGAGCAGGAGTTGGGTGAAACAGTAGTCTGGAGAAGAGAAGATGGCGGCTACGTTGCCACTGTGGCTGCAGAAGCACAAGTATTTCTGCCTAAGCTATTTGCTCTGGCCCCCAAAGTGATATGGAACAGAGGGAAAGAAGGAACTTACTCCAGGGCAGGAGCAAGACTCATGGTCAACAAATTTCTGTCCCGTTCCACCTTGATAAATAGAAGTGTTGGGGGTGAAGAGAAACAATCACTATTTTTTCCCCTTTTCTATCTGGTACATAATTAAAAGAAAAAAGAAATCATTGTCCACTCTGGCTCTGTTTTTCCTTTGGGTTACTGCTCCATGCTGTCTAGTTTGTGCTCTGTTTAACTTAATGTCTGTTAGGCCAGTCCTGGACAGTGATAGGCAGCCTAAAAGACAAGCCCCAGAAGTATCCTGGCACATGGCACCATTTATTAACCACCTACTGTGTGCAGTGCACTAAGTGCTATTGAGATACAAAGTTTAGATAAGAAAAGACCCTTCTCTTGAGGACCTTAAAATGTCATAGGGGGCCCAAGCAATAACAGCCAACACAGACTGCTATAGTGTATTAAAAAATCCAACCAAACAGCATTCAGTAACTTCAGTATGAAGTTAGTCTTAGGGAGGATGGCTGAAAATGTGATTTGGTGTTAAATGAAAAAAGGCCTTATAGATTATGCAGAAGGCTCATGTTTGTGTGTCAGGTACATTCAGAAGTGGCAAAACAACATGCTGTGTGAGGTCCTAAGGAAAAGACAGTTAACCAGTGGGTTCAGGGAGGACTTCATGGACGAGGTGGCATTTGAGTTGGTCTTTAAAGAATTTTAAAAATCCACCCTTTGGAGGGAGGTGAGGTATTTCAGAACAGCCTGAACAAAGGCATGGATGGAGGCATGAACACAAAATGTGTTCAGGAGGGCAGAGACTTGTGTAGTCTGGTAGGAATATAACAGATAAAGAGGAGTAATGTGAGACAAAGCTCAAAAGGTAGGGTGTTGCCAGATTGTGGGAGACCTTGACGACCTGACTAAGTTGTTTGAAACTTTTGTGTGTGTAGCAATAGGAAATCAATAAGATTTTTTATAAGAAGAGTGAAGTGACCAACAGAGTATAAGTATAAAGAACAGAAGGGGAGACAATGGAAGTGTTAGGATGTGTTAGAAAGGCTAATGTAATAATTCAGGTAGGTGATAGAACTGACATTCCCTCAAGGGAGGAGTTGTCTTTCTCTGAGCAGCTCCCTAGAATTCTTTGGGTTTTTTGCATTCAATAATAATTGTTCTTTTCTATTGCCAGCTGCCATTTAAAATTCTTTCTATTTTGTCTTTGCATCACTATAGCATAGCCTAATGGATATAGCATGATGCTTCTTGAATGAATGATTTTGTTTTCACATCACTTAGTCAGAATCTAATGTGTGCCCAGATCTGTTAGGTGGAGACCAAAGGAGTCCAAAACATGTTCCTTGCCCTCGATGAAATTCATTGTAGTTGGAGAGACCAGGTATAAACTAAGGCTAAGTTGAAGATTCTACACAGCACAGAAAAGGTCAGAAGACAGGGTGTGATCAATTGCTAAAGGAGACCTTGAGGACTTTGAATGCCAGGCACATCCTAGAAGGTTTCTGATCAGGGGAGTGGCTGATCAGACTCTGTGCTTCAGGGATCTCACTTCAGCAGTTGTGTAGAGAAGGGAGAGATTTGAGGAACAGAGACCAGTTATCAGGCTGTGTCTGTCTGGGTGAGCGTAGAGAAGGGAGTGCGCGGGACAGATGTTGAAAAAGTAGAATCAGTAAGACGTGGAGCTGAAATCAGTCTTAGAGTATCTCTAGTTCAGGGGTTCTTAAGCCTTTCTTGGTGTCGTGGACCCTCTTTGGTCTGGTGAAATCTGGTGAAGCTTATGGACTTCTCAGAATAATGTCTTTAAATGTGTGAAATAAAATACCTAGCATTACAAAGGAAACCAATTATATTGACATAGTTATCAAAGTAAAAAAAGAAATCATGGACTCCTGGCTAAGAGCCCCTCCCTGATACAATCTCTATCTCTCCTCTACTGACAGGAAACAAGTACAGAGCAGAAAGGTATGGCCAAGTCAAATTTTAATTTATAGGCACAGAGAACCAGGAATTGGGAGATGTGGGTTATGGTTCAGGCTTTCCCATGAATTTGCTGTGATTTTGCCATATTTACTAAAGGAGCATCAAGGTAGCATAGTGAGTGATATGAGAATGGTGGAATTGACAGGGAGAGGGGAGTTTTGGCAAGATACAGAGATAGAAATAGGTCTACTTGGAAGAGTGAGTGTAGATGCAGTTTCCATTTCATACCAGGGTTGACTCTATCTAATTCCTACCTTCTCGTTTCCATCTCCTAATAACAGCTCATGGACAAGGCAGCTGAGCTAAATTACTTTGGAACCTGTTCATCAATCCCTTGTAAGGTTCTTCTTGGTTTATGATAAATAGTAGTTGAGAATTTGCTTTAAATTCCTTTGCTCATGGGACAGCTCCTCCTGGGGAGGAATATGGTTCTTTTCCCAGCAACTGCATGACAACACTACAGTGGCTGAGATTGCCTTAAACTCCAGCCTCAGAGAATATGTTATAGTTCAAGGTGAGTAGATGATTAGCATTTAGTAGGCTTGAATTGGGATAGAAGAATCTTGTATCTGGTTGAAATGTTTATTTAGGAGTCTAGAATATTGCACCAGAATTGCTAAGATCGTAGATTTAGAGTTAGTTGGGACCTTAGAAGTCATTGATTTTACAGATGAGGAAAATGAGGCTCAGAGGGGGTAAGTGAGTTGTGCAGGGTCACAGAGCTGGTAAGAGGCTGGATCTTCTTGACTCCTACTTCAGTGCTCTATCAGTAGAGGCACTATGCTTGCCTGTATTGTCAGTCTATAAGCATTTATTAAGCAACTACTGTGTTCTGGTCACTGTGTTAAGCACTAAGAATAGAAACGGAGGTAAAATAGTCCCTGTTCTCAAGTAACTTTAAAGTGTAATGGGGGAGACAGCATGTAAACAGCTTTACAAATTACATGTGTGTGTGTGTGTGTGTGTGTGTGTGTGTATGTATATATACACATGAGATAAAATGGAATTAATCAGCAAAGGGAAAGCACTAGCATTAAGGGAGATTGCGAGCACTCATTGCAGAAGGTGGAATTTTAGCTAAGCCTTGAAGGAAGTAGGGGGAATTAGGAGGTGGAGTTGAGAGTATTCCAGGCATGGGAGACAGCGAATGAAAATACCCAGAATTGGGAGATGGAGTATCTAGTTCCGAGGAACAGCAAGGAGGCCAGTGTCACTGGATTGCAGTGTATGTATAGGGAGTGCATGGAGTAAGAAGACTAGAAAGAGAAAAGAACAGGGTTAGAGAGGGCTTTAAGAGCCAAACAGAATTCTGTTTGATCCTGGAGGCAATACAGAGCCACTAGGGTTGACTAAATTGGATGGTGAAATGGTCAGACATGCAATTTGACAGCCCTGTGGAGGATGGAATGGAGTGGGGAGAGATGCGTTAGGAAGACCAACTAGCAAGCTATTGTATAAGGCCGGGCATAGGCTGGGCATGAGGGCCTGCGACAGAGTGATGGCACTGTCAGAGCAGAGAAGGAGACATATACAAGAGATGTTGTGGAGATAGAAAGAATAGGACTTGGCAACCAATTGGATATTGGGGAGAGGGGGGTGAGGTGATAGACAGTGAAGAGTCAAGGATGACAGATTGCAGGCCTGGGTCACTGGAAGAATGGTGGTACCCTTGGCAGTAATAAGGAAGTTAGGAAAAGGAGAGGGTTGGGGTGGGGGGAGATAATGACTAGTTTTTGATAGATTGAGTTTAAGATGTCTATGAATCATCCAGTTTGAAGTATCCAATAGGTCAGGAGAGAAATTAGAGCTGGACAAATCTGAGAATTATGTGTGTGGAGATGATAGTTGAAACCAATGGAGCTGCTGTTGAAATCACCAAGTGAAATAGTACAGAGGGAAAATAGAAGAGGACCCCGGGCAGAGCCATGGGGGTCACCCAGGATTAGGGGGCATGATCTGGATGAAGATCCAACAAAAGAGGCTAAGAAGGAACAGTCAGATAGGAGAACCAGGGGAGAGCAAGTGTTTACTATGTGCCTGGCACTGTGCTAATACAAAATGAGGCAAAGGACAGTCCCTGACCTTGAGGAGCTCACAATCAAACGGGGGAGACAACGAGCAAACCAGTAAATACAAACAAGCTATATACAGGATAAATAGTAAATGATTAAAAGGAATGAATAAATGAAGAAGACTTGGGAAAGGCTTCCTGTAAAAGGTGGGATTTTATTTGAGACTTAAAGTCAGTAGGCACAGTTGAGGAGGGAGAGCATTATGGGCTTGGGGGACAGCCAGACAAAATGCCTGGAGCTAAGAAATCATTGTCTTGTTTGGGGAATAACAAAGATTGCTGTGCCACTGGATTGAAGAGTACATGGTGGGGGAGTAAGGTGTAAGAAGTAAAGTGTAAGAAGGTAGGTAGGGCTGTTAATGAAGGGCTTTGAACACCAAATAGAGGATTTTGTATTTGATCCTGGAGGCGATAGGGAGCCATTGGAGTTTATTGAGTAGTAGGGGGACATACATGGTCAGACCTGTGCTTTAGGAAGATCGCTTTGACAGCTGAATGGAGGATGGACTGGAATGGGGTGAGACCTATGGCAGGCAGACCCGCCAGCAGGCTACTGCACCAGTCCAGGTGTGAGGTGATGAGGGCCGGCACCAGAGTAGGGGCAGTGTCAGAGCAGAGAAGGGGGTGTTTTCAAGAAATATTTCAAAGGTAAAATCAACAGGCCTTATCCAGAGTGACTCCTAAATTGTGAGCTTGAGGGATTGGGAGGGTGGTGTTGCCTTCAACAGTAATAGAGAAGTTGGAGGGGGGAGGATTTAAGGGGAAAGATAATGATTTCAGTTTTGAATCTGTTGAGTTTAAGATGTCTACTGGACATCCAGTTTGAGATGTGTGAAAGGCATTTGGAAGGGGAAGTAAGCAGAGAAATTGTGGCTGAAAGATGTAGATTTAGGAATCATCAGCCCAAGGGTGATAAATCCATGGGGGCTGAAGAGATGGCTCATCAAGTGAATATTGAGAGAGAAGAGAAAGAGGGACAAGGACAACCCGTAGGGATAGCTATGGTTAAAGGTAATCTGGAGGAGGATCCGCAAAGGAGATTGAAGAGCAGTCAGATAGAAGAGCCAGGAGAAAGTGCTTTGCTAAAACCTAGAGAGAAGA